GCGGCCAAGACCAGGACCCCCATCATTCGCAGAACGATGGTGGGCGGCCAGGAGACGGTCGCGGCCCCAGCGCCGCTCGCAATGAGGAGCGAGCCTTGATGCATGTGGTGCGGGATGACAGCAGGTGCAGGAGGGGACGGGGGAGGCTGAGCAGGAGCAGGAGGAGGAGGAGGGCTCTTGGGCCGTCTCGGGCCGTCGGAAGGCCGAAACGAAGCAAATGTCAAAATCCTTCGAACACCCAAGGAACATTAGTGTGTTCGGCATTTTCTGGCCTTCCTGGATGCCCTCTTGGAGGCCTCTTGGGCCGTCTTGGGTCAGCTTCGAGCCAACTTCGGCCGTCTTGGTGGGCTCCTGGCCCGTCTGACACTGTCGGAAGCCGTTTGGGGGGCCTTTCTGGGCCGACTTGGGGCCCTCTTGGGGTGCTCCAGGGCCATCTTAGAGGCCATCTTGGGCGTCTTGGATGCCTCTTGGGTCGTCTTTGTGCCCTCTTGGGGCCGTCTTGGGGGCCTCTTGGGCAGCCTGAGGCCATCTTGGAGGCCTCTTGGGCGCTGTGGGGGCGATCCGGGAGGCCTCTTGGGCCGTCTTGGGGCGTCTTTGGGCCGTCTTGGGGGCCTTTTGGGCTGTTATGGGGGCATCTTGAAGGCCTCGTGGGCGATCTTGGGGCGATCTTGGGGGCCTGTTTGGCCGTCTTGAGCCGTCGGAATGCCGAAAAGAAGCAAATGCCTTCAACAACTTTATGCTTTTTATTTCCATATTCATCATCAGAAGAGTTTACATTAAGTGCTCTTTTTATTTTCTCGTCCATCACTCAGAGCATCAATGATTTTGGCTCTCTTCGGGCCCTCCTGGTAGGACCTGACTGTTTGCAAATATATAATCTAATTTCTCTGCCCCTCTTTTTGTTTTGTTCTTCTTTTTTCTTTTTCTTTTTTTTCTCCTTTCTTCTTTAACCCCTCGCTCTCGTACTATCTCTTTCTTTCGTTTTCTCTTCTATTTCCTTCTCCTTTTTTCTTCTCCTTCTTTTTCTTACTTCTTTTCTTAGAGGCTTCTTGGGCCGTCTTGGAGGCCTCTTGGGGGCCTCTTGGGCCGTCTTGAGGCCATCTTGAGGCCATCTGAGGCCGTCTTTGGTGCATCTTGGGCCGTCTTGGAGGCATCTTGGGGCCATCTTAGTCGTCTTGGAGGCCACCTTGGCCGTCTTGGAGGCCTCTTGGGGCCCTCCTGGGGCCGTCTTGGGGGTCTCTTGGGCCGTCATGGGGCCATCTTGGAGGCCTCGTGGGCGATCTTGGAGTGCCCCCGTTCGTGGAGTGCCCCCCGTTCGTCCCGTTCGTGGAGTGCCCCCCGCCTTCCTTGGTCAAGCTCACCTTCTGGTGCGTCGCTCGCACCCGGTGCACCTGGTGGGACCAACGGCGTTGGTGGGCCGAGCGCCTTGAGCTCCACCCCATCCTCGGCACCTCTCTCCAGGCCCTCCGCCTTGCCGCTCGCTTCCCTCGGTCTCCCCTTTGGCGGTCGTGCGTGGCACATCACGCGGCCACCTTCGGGCTGGTCTCCCACCCGGACTCGCCTGGGCTTCTGCCTGTCTGGGTTCGCGCCGGGCCTGCTCTCGACCCGCGGGCCGCGGCCGCCGTGGCTGAGATCGTGGCCTCCTCCGCCCTCCCGCCCTACTTCGATGCCTCCTCTCCCCGGGGGCAACACACCCTCCGGGTGTGCGCGCGCGCCCAGCTGCTTCAGGTACGTTTGCAGGCGCAGCGGAACGACGAGGAGGGGATGAACGACATCGACATCGAGGCTTCGTCCCGGCTCCCGTGGAGCTCGTGGCGCGACAGCCTCACTAAGGACCAGCTCGGCCTTCTGTCGGTGTGGCGCGGTGGGGCTTCCAGCACCCCGACGCGCCGATCCCACGGTCGGGCCCCATGCCCGTTCTGCGGGCACGTCGCGGCCTCGGCCCGGCACTTCTGGGCCGAGTGCCCCCGCTTCGCTCCCGACCGCGCCGCCCTTGGTTCGGAGTATGGTGTCACCGAGGCCTGGTGGGCTGCCCAGCCCAGGGTTACATCCAAGAGTGGCTGGATCACCGCGATCGCCGGCCCCACCACTGAGGCCCGGTCTCGGCGGCAGGTGATGTCCTGCAGGCTCGGCATCCGCATCCTGGAGGTCCTGCCATGGGACTACGCGGCGCCGGCCCCAAGAGGGCCTGCGGCTCGGCGGCCGGCGGCGGCCGGCCCGGACGGCGCTCCGCCCCCGAAGCGGCGGCCCGCGCCTCCCCCCTCCGCCCCCCCTCCTGGCCCGGCCCAGGCGGGCGCCGCGGCCGAGGCGGACGACGCGGAGCCCGACTCCGCCGACGACGACGACTTCGACGACCCCCGTCCGCCCCCGCCCCCTGGTGGTGGTGCGGTGGTGGTCGGCACTCCTCAGAGCCGGGCACGGGAGCTATCTCCTGTTCCCCCATCCCTGCCGGAGAGGGCCCGGCGTAGGCCTCGCCCCACCTCCCCTCCCCCTCCTCGCCGGACTCGGTATCGAGCTGGATAGGACTTTTTAGTGTGCTTGGGCTTTCCCATGTACGGTGACTCCGGCCGGGCTTCGCCCTAGGCGATTCTTGGCCGGTTTCTTCCTCACCCTAGACTACTTTCTCGGCCTCCGGCCGAGGGCGTCGAGGCATCGTGAAGCCTGTCGCCTGCAGCCACAAAGGCCCTCTTGGGGCCGTCTTCGGGGCCTCTTGGTCCGGCGTGGGGCCATCTTGGAGGCCTCGTGGGCGATCTTGGGGCGATCTTGGGGGCCTCTTGGGCCGTCTTGAGCCGTCGGAATGCTGAGAAGAAGCAAATGCGGCATTTGCTTATTTTGAACCGAAGGACAATCAATGATTTTGATTTCTTCGGGCCCTCTGGAGAACCTCTTGGAGGCCTCTTGGGCCGTCTTGGAGGCCTCTTGGGCCGTCTTCGGCAATATTGAGGCCATCTGAGGCCGTCTTGGATACATCTTGGGCCGTCTTGGGCCATCTTGGGGCCATCTTAGGCCGTCTTGGAGGCCATCTTGACCCGTCTTGGAGGCATCTTGGGGCCATCTTAGCCGTCTTGGATGCCATCTTGGCCGTCTTGGAGGCCTCTTGGGGCCCTCCTGGGGCCGTCTTGGGGGTCTCTTGGGCCGTCATGGGGCCATCTTGGAGGCCTCGTGGGCGATCTTGGGGCGATCTTGGGGGCCTCTTGGGCCGTCTTGGAGGCCTCTTGGGGGCCTCTTGGGCCGTCTTGGGCCATCTTGAGGCCATCTGAGGCCGTCTTTGGTGCATCTTGGGCCGTCTTGGAGGCATCTTGAGGCCATCTTAGTCGTCTTGGAGGCCACCTTGGCCGTCTTGGAGGCCTCTTGGGGCCCTCTTGGGGCCGTCTTCGGGGCCTCTTGGTCCGGCATGGGGCCATCTTGGAGGCCTCGTGGGCGATCTTGGGGCGATCTTGGGGGCCTCTTGGGCCGTCTTGGGCCGTCGGAATGCTGAGAATAAGCAAATGCCCAAATCCTTCAAAAACCGAAGGACAATCAATGATTTTGATTTCTTCGGGCCCTTCTGGAGAACCTCTTGGAGGCCTCTTGGGCCGTCTTGGAGGCCTCTTGGGCCGTCTTCGGCAATATTGAGGCCATCTGAGGCCGTCTTGGATACATCTTGGGCCGTCTTGGGCCATCTTGGGGCCATCTGGGAGGCCGTCTTGGAGGCCATCTTGACCCGTCTTGGAGGCATCTTGGGGCCATCTTAGCCGTCTTGGATGCCATCTTGGCCGTCTTGGAGGCCTCTTGGGGCCCTCCTGGGGCCGTCTTGGGGGCCTCTTGGGCCGTCTTCGGCAATATTGAGGCCATCTGAGGCCGTCTTGGATACATCTTGGGCCGTCTAGGAGGCATCTTTGGGTCATCTTAGCCGTCTTGGAGGCTATCTTGGCCGTCTTGGAGGCCTCTTGGAACCCTCTTGGGGCCGTCTTGGGGGGCTCTTGGGCCGTCATGGGGCCATCTGGGAGGCCTCGTGGGCGATCTTGGGGCGATCTTGGAGGCCCCTTTTGCCGTCTTGAGCCGTCGGAAGGCCGAAAAGAAGCAACTGCCGCAATCTTTCAAACATCTAAGACATATTCATGATTTTGGCCTCCTCGGGCCCCCCTGGAGGACCTCTTGGAGGCCTCTTGGGCCGTCTTGGAGGCCTCTGGGAGCCCCTTGGGCCGTCTTGGGCCATCTTGGGGCCATCTTAGGCCGTCTTGGAGGCCATCTTGACCCGTCTTGGAGGCATCTTGGGGCCATCTTAGCCGTCTTGGATGCCATCTTGGCCGTCTTGGAGGCCTCTTGGGGCCCTCCTGGGGCCGTCTTGGGGGCCTCTTGGGCCGTCATGGGGCCATTTTGGAGGCCTCGTGGGCGATCTTGGAGCGATCTTGGGGGCCTCTTGGGCCGTCTTGAGCCGTAGGAATGCCGAAAAGAAGCAGATGTCAACATCCTTCAAACACTCTATGAACATCAATGATTTGGGCCTCTTCGGGCCCTCCTGGAGGACCTCTTGGAGGCCTCTTGGGCCGTCTTGGAGGCCTCTTGGGGGCCTCTTGGGCCGTCTTGGGTCATCTTGAGGCCATCTGAGGCCGTCTTTGGTGCATCTTGGGCCGTCTAGGAGGCATCTTGGGGCCATCTTAGTTGTCTTGGAGGCCACCTTGGCCGTCTTGGAGGCCTCTTGGGGCCCTCTTGGGGCCGTCTTCGGGGCCTCTTGGTCCGGCATGGGGCCATCTGGGAGGCCTCGTGGGCGATCTTGGGGCGATCTTGGGGGCCTCTTGGGCCGTCTTGAGCCGTCGGAATGCTGAGAATAAGCAAATGCCCAAATCCTTCAAAAACCGAAGGACAATCAATGATTTTGATTTCTTCGGGCCCTTCTGGAGAACCTCTTGGAGGCCTCTTGGGCCGTCTTGGAGGCCTCTTGGGCCGTCTTCGGCAATGTTGAGGCCATCTTGGGCCTCTTGGGGCCCTCTTGGGGCCGTCTTGGGGGGCTCTTGGGCCGTCATGGGGCCATCTGGGAGGCCTCGTGGGCGATCTTGGGGCGATCTTGGAGGCCC